GTATGTACGTACGGACTAAAAACATTAACGCCAAGTGTCTAGCTAACAAACTGTCTGCACCTTCTTCTTTGACATACATACATACATACAAATTGTTTTGCGCTCTTGTGACAGCCAAAATTGTTTTGATGACAGAAGAGAAAGGCTATAATTTGGCATTAGTCGTATGTATGTATGTATTACTGCAGTAACATAGCGATCGGCAGGCGAGTATACACACATCTGTATGTACAATGTGCATATATGCTGTAACGAAATGTTTACTGTGCGTTCACGCGTCAATAAAAAGTCACTCATACGCCATGTAGACTTATGCTACTACACCGGCTAACCGGATAACATGCCCACCGGTTGTTGTTGGCGTTTCAGCAACGCCGGGTGCGTGTTATTAACACTTAAGATTTACAAACAAAAAAACCATTTATAATAGTAAACACATTTACATAGGGAAGTGTAATAAAACTGACAACTCAACTTGCTCATTTTCGCTTGGTTTTGTCGGTTTTTTGTTTTTAATTTTTTTTTAGTTGTTGTTTTAGCAATTGCTTAGCAGTAAATAAAAATTACGATATGGCTTTGCAACGTCCATCTCCAGCTGAGCGGCTTATTTTTGTAGATATGAGTGTATAAAAGCTGAATATTGCATTGACATATGTATGTACATTAGGGTGGTCCAAAAATGCATGTGGGGGTGGGGTGGGAGGGGGGAGTAAAGTCGGAATTTGTATGCTCTCACGCCCTAGGATTGTTCTATACCGAAAAAATATATCCCTATTTTTTTATTTTGAAATCAAAAAATATTTAGAGGTCGCTCAAAGCGCCAAAGTTTTCCATGGGAAAAAACAACTTTTCGTAGAAATGGTATGGAATTCTGGAGAATCAATAGTTTTCTATCGGAAAACTCTGTTTATCTGCAGGAGATTCCCAATAATAATACCCAATTGTTTATTTAACCATTTTTCCATCGCAACTACCAGAGTTTTCCGATCGAAAAATATATTGATTTTCAAGAATTCTATACCATTTCTACGAAAAGTTGCAGCAAATTCATTGTTTGTACCTTTTACAGCAAATAAATTAAACAGTAGTAGTTTACGATTTTATTTTGGTTGAAAATACACATATCGTAGTTTAAAGTAGGAACATTTCTGCATCAAGAAGAAAATTTTGGAAAAAAAATTCACTTACATCTTTTAGGCGGTTAGGGCTCTATATGTGAAAATTACGTGATTGACGGAAAATCTAACTCACGCACGCTCACGCCGGCCAAAGTTTCAGTTACGCACGATCACGGAAGTTACGTGGTTTTTCTCTCAAAACCACTAAAGCTCACGCGTGACACGACACATCACAAGTTGTTTTTCCCCATCTCTAGTGTGTATTATGTATACATACATATGTATCGCATGTATGTATGTAGCTAACACCTTTTCATTAGCACAATCAATCAGGGCAATAAAATCATTTGCCATAGGGAAGGCGCGAGGTGTGCTTAAACATTTCCAGTTCCAGCCAGTTGTCGGTATGTTAAATGTACATGCACATACACACACACACACATACCGGCATACGCGCATTAACATTTGTTTATATGGCAACCGGGATAGTATAAGTAAACAAACAACAACTGACTTATAACTATTGTTTATACTAATTGCTACGCCGTCGTCAAAACAAATGCACAGCATTTCGGGTGCGATCAAATATTAAACAGATTTAATTGGCGAAAATAGCCAAGACTATTAAGTGTATTCTTACATTTTAGATTTAAAAATTCACTAGTATACGCATCTTGAATCCGCAACGCAGTAAAAGTGGTCTGATTTTATTGAAGAAAAAAAAATATATATTATACATACATATTGTTATCTGATTCATAGATATAACGAAGAAATGTAGAGCATGAAAACCTTCTCACCTTTCCGGACACTTATCGCTTCTTTGTTGTTTTTTTTTTTTGCAAAACTCTTTATTGCAAGGTGTGACTGCCCATGCAACTGCTTTCTAAAATTTCTCAATTTGACAGCCTTTTCGAAACAGATTGTATTGCCGCGTCTGACAGTACTTTTATTTCGAAAGCTGCGATATAAAAAAGTGTGTCTCTTGGTCGCTGGGTGGCTGTCAAGTTTACACGAATGCCACTAAAGTAAATAGAGTTTCCATGTCGATGTTTGGGACTAACCCTAAGGCTGGACTTTACCATGCCATATTTTGACAACAAAATTTGCAACATATTTTGAAGAAATTTTCTTCTTGATAATTTGGTATAAAAAAAGGATATATTATTAGTACAGTGTTTTTACTCCGTTTGATGCTGTACTTTCACTTATCTGATGGCAAACGCCATTGAATTGGACAAAGTGAAAAAACAAACCTTTATAATCGTCATTCGCGGAAATTTCTAAGCTTTTGTCGTTGAGATTGTTGCTTGATGTCTTTGCTTCGTTACGACCACTCTAGGATGTCTCGGGTTTCAGATATTTTTAGACGAGTAGCGGCTATTTTTTCGTTTTAATTATCCTCTTCACTAAGTCCTTCTTCAAGACCTGATTCTTCCCGATTTTTGAGAAGTTCTGGTCTTACTGCAAGTCATCAGACTAGCGCTGCCTCAATCAGCTCACCAGACGCTGTTCGCTAGCTTTTTACTTATTACTGAAGCCTTCGTAGTGGGAGTTTCGCTGCCGTATGGGATCTCGGTGTTTCCGTTGCTCTATTTTGAGGAGCGTCGAGCGGTGATTCCTGACAGGGTTTTATAGTGAACCTCGACCAGGCCAATGCTTGGCGCGGAACGATTGACGTTGAGATGGATGTGTAAAGTAACTTTAGTTCGGGGAGGTCACCACTCGGACAAAAACAGTTTGGTGCAGTTTTTGGTGTGGTGGCATCATCGGATATTAGAAACGGTTTTTTGTGGCCGCAAATTTAAGACATGGGCTCGGACGATCTTTGGTTTCAGCAGGATGGCGCACTATGCCACACAGCCACAATCGATCTTTTGTGCGCCAAGTTCTGTAAGCGTGTTATCAGCCATATCGGCGATGTCAATTGACCAACGCGAAGCTGCGATTTGACGCCATTAGACTTGGCATGGGGTGCTGTGATAGACCAGGACCTTAAGGCGAACATCGAGCAAGCCATTTGCGATATATGTAGAGCCAGAAACCGTCATCAAGGTCTTGGAGAACTTGGTTAAGAGAATGTGCAACACTTTTTTTCTGCATCTTAGTAGCAAATTGAAAACTTTTTAATGCGTTTACTGAAAAGCCTTGTTTTTTTTTTTTTTAGTATGACATCTTTTAGGAACATGTTCATAATTAATCAAATATCTCTTTAGCAGTTGCCGGTTGTAGAGTGTCCACCTCTAATTGGCCATAGCAGCATCACCCACAAAGCATGCGCAAACAAATTCTTTATCACGCTTTCAATTCATTTTACCAAACAAGCACCACGCCACTCTGCAGCCGCACGCTTCCTCAAGCAAACAAGGATATCATAATAGCTTACTTGGACTGACATGACTTTGCTTTGCTTGCTGCCACTTACGCTGCCAATTCCACTTGCCACTTTTTAACATTGTGTGCTGAATGTGTGCATGTCTGAGTGTGTATGGCTGTATGTGGCTGCGTATGCATTTATGTACATATGTACAGTGACTCACACAAATGACCACGTGTCGTTTTTTTTTTAATATTCCTAATATTTTTCCAGCTTAACTTTTAACTAAAACCGTGTAAATCACAGCCACAAACTTTATACAAAATTTAGGCAAATTCAACAAATTTTCATCAAAATTTCACTTTTTTATTCTGAATTTTTAGAAAATTTTTGGGCATGCACTTTTTTAGCGCATACAATTTTAAACGGCCAAAAATTCGCGTTGATTTTTGAGGTTTTTTGTTTTTTTGGTAGCGACTTTTTCGGGTTTTTCAATATAACAAGCGCATTTTACAAAAACTTGAGTTGATAATTTGAAATTTTGTTGATGACGGTTTTATTTCATAAGAAATTCATACTTACAAAAATCCGTCACCAAAAAAAAAAAAATTCTCAAAAACCAACGCGATTATCGGTTTGAAACTTACACTACATTAGACTAAAATTTTATGGGCTATAAAACTGCATACCCAAAAATTTCCTTAAAAATTCCGAATAAAAATTTGAAATTTTGATGAAAATTTTTTGAATTTTCGTAAATTTTGTATAAAGTTTGTAACTGTGATTTAAACGGTTTTGGTTAAAGCTTAGACGATATTTTTATGTATATATAAAAGAAAAAAAAAAGTTTAGCTGGAAAAACATTTTGAAGAAAATCAACACGTGGTCATTTGTTTGAGTCACTGTATATATTTGCCATTATCATTGTCATTGCTGTTACTGTTGCTTCTGCTGCTGTTTCTACTTCTGTGGCGACTGTTATTTTAATGGCTCCATATGGCTTACACGCGTCTCAAAAAAGCTCTCAGCAATTTCAATTTAAAAGCTAAGGATATGCCATGCTAGCGCTCAGTCACAACACAGCGCCACGCGAGTGCAGTACAGTAAAGTTAAGAACCAAGGCAAGGCACAACGAGAAGTGGTAGCGAAAAACATTGTAGTATTTTAATTAACAATTGAGTGTGTTCTGCGCTGTCTATTAGCAACTAACTCAATAAAAAATGTATGCGAAGTTTGTTAGTAACTTCAAGTGTTGATGTGAAAAGGATTTTAAGTGCCGAGCTAGAAATACACAAAACTACTAAGCAAGCAAATCAGTTTATTAATAAACAACTTTCAGAATCTAAGCTTAGGCGAAATTCAAACTAAACGAAACAAATGCTTAATTAAAAAAAAAAAAAAAAAATATGCGCGCAAATTAAAAAAAAAAATACAAAGGTTATAAACCAGTGTGATTTGAAGAGAAACGCAAAAAAACTTTATTGCATTATTTAGCAAGCGTTATTGGAGATTTATTCTTTGCACCCAGCTAAATCGAAAGGAATCAGTCGAAAGACTCTGTATCTACTTTTCTAGATGTGTTTGTATGTGCCAATTACGTCCGTAGTTTATTGAACGATCGCGTCAATCCCGTTTCAAAATATTCATTGAAGCCACCACGGCTAGTCTGCGGCTACTTTGACGTATCTCCCTTGTTTTTTTGTTTTGGTATTAAATTGCAAGTTTATCGTACAAATGCAAAGATTAAAGGCGCTGGGAATTAAGGCAAAAACGCGTCCACTGGTAGGTAACCACGGCAGCCAAAACCAGCCGGTATACGTATTTTGCCGCTCTAAACAAGTTCTGAAACGCCTATACACATATGTATATAGTACATTAGGGTGGTCAAAAAAAAAAGAAATAATAAAAAATCGTTGAATAAACAATTGGGTGTTATTACTCAAAATCTTCTGAAGAAAAGTGAAAAAATATTGGTTTTCAATAATTCTAAGAAAATTTGTTTTTTGTAGTATATTGCATGGAAAACTTTGAGCGCTTTGAGTGACTTCTGAATATTTTTTTTATTTCAAAAGAAATAGGCGTATATTTTCCGTAAACCAATTTTTCTTTTTCACATACATTTTTGGAGCACCCTAATGTATGTACATGCATATGTAATTATTTTGTTTTATTCAATGTACACAAATTTGCGTGACAGTTAATTCGATCAGAAGTCGATTTTGAATTGTAACGCAGTTTGTTTTTTGTTTTTTTTTTGCCAATTTAACGCATATTTTGATGCACGTATGTATGTATGTATGTATAAGTTTTAAGGTGTCTATGCTCCACTCAAAACAGCAATAAAGTTCTACGCTGGCACAGACACGTCGACCCTGACCGAAACGTTGCAATCAGACGCTTCGAATAATAACTAATGCAGCTATTCGTCAAAAACGCATACAAATTAAACGGAGGCGATGAAGCATCGTTAAAGTGATTGCAGTAAAAATTAACGTTTCGAGCAACATTCACCATTAACAAAAAACTTGCTTCTAATTAGCGGTTTAAGCCAATAAAAGGTTTGTTCCACACGAGCCACCGGGATCCCGCGGGTGCCCAAAACAGCCCAGAAAGCGTTGCTCACTCTAGAAAAATGGGTAATAGCGAGCGAATACCTTCCAATTTTAGAACGGAATATTATACTTGGCAATTAGTCAGTAGCTGAAAAAAAATGCTATCAAAGAACTGCATCACACAATGGATTGCTAGCTATTTGAAAAAGGGGTATGGACTGCGTCCTGGCAGGTCAATTGTGCCCTATGCGATGAGATGACTCACTAGATATCAATCAAAAAACTGTACCAAACTGTACAGTATTTACCGTTAACCTAGAAATAAAGCCAGTTAGTTCAAGTTCTCATATTTTCGTAGAGCTTAGAGGTCCAACAGACAAACGAAAAAGTACTGGTGAGGACACAGCTCCCTAAATTAGCTGCGACAGTAGTATTTCGCCTATTTGCCTGGATTAAATTTGCCGTTCCACTTCATACGTTGGTTCAACGACCCATCTTTTATTTGTCGTCCTTTTTATTTGCACCCGCATCTTGAGTAAAGCTTACAATCGATAAGTAGATACTTGGCCTTGCAAGTTTGCTCGCTTCGCAGTTATCTAAATTATCTTTATGACCTGGCACCCAAATTACCTTTGTTGCCTTGCAGTTTTCGACGAGGTTGCAGAGCTTTCGAAGGATCTAATGGCGACATAGTTTTCCTAATAGTTACTGCCTGCAAACTCAAATCTGAGATGATCAGCTACCGCAAGGCTTCCTTCAAGACTGTCAATTCCTCTTGAAATATGCCGCAGTGGATTGGTAGTAGAAAACTCAGTTTTAGAAATAATCATTTCGAGTAGACACCACTTCCCACTCTTTGGTTTAGTTTTGACCCGACCGTAGATAGTTTTGTAAAGCGCCAATATGATTTCTGTACCGAGTAAGGAGAAGATTAAGGATGATTTCCATGGCGTTAGACGGCCAGTCTCTAATACTTAGTAGTTTTCTCTGAAGATGAGCACCCAACCACGTTATATTTGACCTAGTCGGACCAGGTTCCCCGAGGGTATTTGCCCACTAAAGTTAAGTTTCGTCAGTATTAGCTTGACAGCGCAAGCGCAGCTACAAATAGTTTAGGCTCCATAAAAGCGGGAAGATATTTGGTGTTTAACCGCGCGCCTGTAAAATTTTGTCTCATCTTTACTAATTTAATATTCAGTGTTCAATATAAATTTTTATGACTAAAAACGTTTAAAGGTAATAAATATTTTTTAATTACACTCTGTTCGTCAAGCCTTATCAATTAAAATAATTATAAATGAGCTCATACTGACTGACCGCCTTTCTCATTAATCATTAAGAAATTACAGTGAGACATGGATAAGTGAGCCTACAAACGGAGTTTTACTATCCGTTGTAAAGAAATAACTCTCCAAAAAAAAAATATATATATAAATTAGCAATTTGACGTCTGACATCATTAACGTACAGTAAGGTCCGTTAGACATACAAATCCATAAATTTGTAGTTCTGGCAGTGAAGGCAATTAGAATTTGAATCAAAGAAACATCTATGAACTCTCAGAGCCGCTTTCATCATCTCTGATTAACACTAATCCCCAGTTAAACATCGTTACCGACACAACGTTACATATGTGCATGGAGTCAGTCATCGATAAGGCCCCACTGTAAACGCCGATATGACGAAAAATGAGAAACGACAAAAAAAAATTTCCTTCTCAAGGGTGTAGACGGACTTTTTTTTACACAGGTAATAAAACTAAGTGAAATGATAACCAAAGGCAAATAAACTCTACATACATATATACAAGTAATGACCAAAAATAAATACATAACTACTTACATACGTACATACATATGTACATAACAGAATTAGACGCGGTAATATGAATAGAAATATAAATACATTCGTACATACACACATATGTAGCCTGTGGGGAAAATCTCTGGTTCTGAACTGGTGCGCTTCTAGTACATTTAGACCCAGTACTGGTTCGTGATAAATCTTTTTTGCATGCAAGCAACTAGCCAATTTAACATGGCGATGTCCTAGGAAGTGTCAATTGCCCCCCGCTGCATCCCTTTTTCGATAGTTCCGAACTAGTCATAAATTCTATAGTTCCGAACCAGTTCTAAAACTGACAGACGAAAGAAAAAAGTATCATGATTTCTCAATCTTTTTGGTTCTTCCGTGTGTGCGATTTTAAGTTATTTTGGAAGAAATGTGTTTCCAATTTGAAATTAAATTTGTTTGAATGATTTTAAGAAATGTACGTTTACATACCTTTAGCTGTAGCTTAGTTTGCAGAGGTGCTCGCTGTTATTTCTTAGATTCCAGAGGGTCCCAAGATGTTGAAATGTTAACACAAATTTTAGTTTTGTATTACCAAGTTATGAAAAAGCATTTGCGAAGCACAGAATAGAAGCGTATTTGAACGAAAAAGCCGCCGAACACGTATCTATGTAAAGTAAACAAGCCCCCCGCTGCATCCCTTATTCGATAGTTCCGAACTTGTTCTAAATTCGTCAAATAAGATCTAGTTCATTCTGCATCCCTTTCGTCACTTTAAATATCGATTTCTAGTGAAAAAAACTGAAAAAATTAGTATTTTAAAAGTACCACTTTTCGTCGATTTTGGACTGGTGGGGATCTAGTTCATAGCGGACTAGTTCCTTTTTGGCGATAAAGACCTATTACGGAACTAGAAATTTGATTCACTAGTCCGCGGTTTCCCTGCAGGGTATGTACATACATACACATGTATATCTGCACGTGTTGTGTGTATTTTTAATAAATCAAAATATAATTTGAACAATTAATTACGAATACCAGACATCTGCAGAAATTTGAAACCAGTTAGTGATAAAACGTCGAATACCAATTACCAATGACAGCAGCTGCTAAAGCGCAAAGCAATTCAGACTAGAAAGCAGAAGTTTAATTTCCAAAAAAAAAGTTAATATTCGAATCAAAAGTTTACTCACGCCAGTCGTCGCTTGCAAAACCACACCCACTGATAGTAGGTAGCTGTTATGCCCGAAACGAATAAATTGTTGAATAATGGTTATCTACGCACACCGCATATCTTTGGCGTAAGCAGCGGTGCAACAATGGAGGACGGCGGGGCAACAACTGCCGTTTCGCCGCTGCTCAGCGACAGCGGCGACATCGCCACCACTACGCTTATAGATGACAAATTGTCTAACCTACAACAGAATAGCAATAATTTAAACAACAGCGCAGCGAACAATGGACCGCATGTCAAATTGCCCACAGTGGTGTATTTAGGCGCTGACAGTGGTGGCGGCGGTGGCGGCGGTGGTGTTGGAGGAGTTGGTGTGAGCATCAACAGCGGTACCGGTGCAACGCGCACTACACTTCAGCGGAACGCACCCTCGCCCTACCAAAGCACCACAACACCCATGCATCAGCATAGCGATTGGCTGATGAAGGAGCCGACACAAAGACGGCGCTTGCTCATCTTAGCTGCAGCTTTCATGGTGCTCGGCGCTGCGATCGGTGCATTGGCGATCTATTTTGCTGGCAGCTATCGTTGTCACTCGTTGCCCACCGCTGACACGGAAGTAAGCGTTGACAGCAGTAGATTGGATACTGAATACGGAGGTAAGTAAAAAGCTATATATGTACTAAAGTTATACTCGTATTTGCTTTCCAGCAAAAAAGCTGAAACGATATTTTGTTTGTAATTTACTGCGAAATCACAGTAAAGGCCCTCCTCTTTATAGGATTAACCCGTGTGCAGAAAAACTTATTTTTTTTTTGGTAAATGGAAATTTTCGAATGGCTTACTGACATACCTAAACAAAAGCGTCAGCGTTGTCTGGATGTCAAAAAATTCTCATGCTCATACAATTTGTATGAAGCATACCGAAACAACGCGCCGTCAACGCTGAGCGGTTGGAAAATCCAATTTTGACAGAGCGTTAGGTATTGAAGTTGGCAGCGGAAAACGGCGAAACTATCATTTTCGTGTTACACACAAACAAACCTATGCTTATTGTTGGCGTTATATCTGCATTTGATGTAGCGTTGACGCTTTTGTTTAGGTATGGCACTTCGGCGCTAACGCTAGGCGTCAGAAACCGCTCCACCCAACGCTTTTGTTTAGGTATGGCAGTTAGAATTTGATAAATTAGACATATTGCTGAGTTATTCATAATTGTTTATAAACTCGCTGGTCAAAGTCAATATTTATCTTAAACCCTCGTAGCGGTCTCTGAAATTCCTTTTAATTGTGAAATTTTCGTAGATGTTTTTATTTTGTACATAGAACCAAATAAAGGGTTGCTCCATGTAATTGATGTTTTAAGAACTACCCTGGTATGCGTGGTATATGGGTTTTCGACCATCAGGTAAAGATATACAAAGAATAGTTGTTTTACTACTTCAGTCCAGTAAACGGCTCTTGAGAAAAACGTTAAATTCAAATAAAAGGATGTTCAAGAAATGGAAAAGAAATTTTCTTCTGTCAAATTTTCTTACGGCGCTGTCTGCAGCTCTCAAGAAAACCGAAAAATTCATATAAAACGACGCACAAGAAATCGAAAAGAAATTGCCTTATATCAAAATTTCTTATACCAGTATGCAGCTCTCAAGAAAAAAAAATGCTCGTATATTTATTTCTTCAAGAGGATTGACAGCAATTTTTCAAGCTAGGGAAATAATTCTTAGGTTTTTTTTTGGGGCGCTTTAATCTAAGATCCATTATCATCGCAATGGACCAATTTTTGGCGCATTTCATGTACCGATAGTGCGAACAAATAATCAACCACGATCTCGTTGTACCGATTATCATCGCATATTATTTGTTCAAATTTACCAAATGTCTATCTACCAATCAAGCGCGATGAAAATCGGTACATACATATTGTGTTATTTGCGCCGATAGTGGGAGCCTAGCTTTAATTAAGCTTTATAAAAAAGTTCACAACAAATTAAAAAAATTTAGCTAAATACATATAGCTTAAAATAGAAGTGAATATGAGTATGTGTGTTCATTTGCAAGAATAAATATACACACAGGTACGAATGGAAGAATGTGCTATTTAAATTCCCCCCACAAGAGTCATTCTAAGTAAATTATTGTGTCATCGTAAAAGTTTTTATAACTTTTCTATAATTTATTCATGCACTTTAAAACCATTAAATTGTGCAATTTCAATAAGTATATGGAGTGATATTAATATACATACATACATACATACATACATACATAGGTGTTGTAGTGGTAACTGGGTCAGTGATCAATAAAAACGAAAAACGTTTCAATTTGTTGTATGTAATTGCATTCTTTACCGTTCTATTTCATCCCATTCGAGACAATTTCATTATTATATGTACTATTTGAAATGTGTTTATCACATCAAACCACTAACAGCCAACCAACAAACTAACCAACTAACCAAGCAAACGACCATCAACCAACCAGTCGTCTAAACAAACGGGCGCGTCTGTGGTACCCATTCAACTGCACAACCAATTCGAGCGTACCACTTTAATATCCGCACTTCTTTTCATTACACTCGTATTGTCGTCGCTTCTCCTTTTGCCACGTTTGTGTTAGCCCCGTGGCGTTGACGACACATTCAACAGGCGTTGTTATTAAGAGCGCCCAACAGGTAGGCAAAATGCCAAGTAGACAATTCTTAAGACTGGTTTTCATCATTTCATATTTTGACGCCTAAAATTTGGCGACACATTTTGACAAAAGCTGACAGATAGCCGATTTAGTAGCGCATGTACGCGACTAAAGACCTATCCTGATCAAAATCAATCGATAAACCGCTTTTTAATCCCATTTGACAATGTGTTTTCACTCTTCATAATTAGGATGACTCCTTCCTTAAGGCGAGTAGGATAACAAAGGATTCCTGATTTTTTATAATTCTTTGCATTTCGTGTACTTGCATATTTAATATTTTTTTTCTAATAACTAATTCTTTAATAAATACATATTTTATTGTGATTTTTTACCAAAGCATTCTGCATTAAATTTTTATAACATACTTAACTTTAAAATTTTTTATGAAAGTATGATTTTCGCTTATATGTATATACCCGTACATAAGTATATGAAATTGTATATATGTACCTCTATCAAAATTCTCCACTTATTGCTTCCTATTGGGCCGCTGCTTGTAAACACTAAATGCCTTGTCGGTGGGGAAAACATCAGCAATTCCATTTCCTTTATGCCACTCATGGGTTCTTTTGCAATCTATTATAAACGTTAAAATATATGTACATACATGTGTACATATACGTTTAAATATAAGTAAATACACGAAAACCTATTAAGTGAATGCATTTGCATACGAACGTTTGCACACTTATATTTATATAATTTATTTAAATATCTTTAAGGAAGATAATGCAAAAATATTTACATATTGACAAGATTTGACTATTTAATTTTTTATTGTAACTATTTGTTTGTAAAAATATCTTATTACATTAAACGAGCAATTCTTGTATATATATATATATATATCCATAGTGTTCTCGGAAACGGCTCTAACGATTTTGATGAAATTTTGTACACAGATAATTTTTTGGATTTTGAGGTTATCTGAATAGGCATTATCTCCGAGAAGACTCGTATAAAGTTGCCACCTATTCGAAATTAGTTACAAATTAATTAAAACATCAAAGTATTCGCATCAAATGGAAGGTATTTTAAAGATCCCTAATTCAAAAATTTTAATAATAGGGTTGCCACCTATTTGGAATCGTATATTTATTTAATTTTTTATTTAGAAAAAAAGGTAAAATATTATATTCATGGGTATCAAGAGAAGGTTCTTAAACAATGTTTTTCCTATATACAAATAGTGTGCCTTAGGATAGTAGTGTAAGGATGCCACTTATTTTCGATTCTACAAAATTTATCTAAAACATCGCAATATGGATATCAAATGAAAGGTATTGTTGAGGACTTTTATTAGAAAATATTTTTGATCAGGGCTGCCATGCTTCTATGTAATTCAAATTTTAATTTTGTTAATTTCAATCGGCATTTTTTTATGTATACACAGTACATGTATGTATGCTCAAGATATATACTACTCATTCCAGCGTATTTCGGCAATATGGTTGCCATCTAAATTTTAGAGTAAGAAATTTGCTTAATAGATATCGAAATCCAATTTTTATTTTTTTCAAAAATATTTTTTAAAGCTATCCAAATGACCAGTATTTGATATCAATACCTTGAAAACTTTAAAAAGTATATGCACTCCGGGCAAAGCTCGGTCAACCTGGTACTAGTTTATTGTTTAGCGAAACCCGTATAAATCCAAGATACGATCCAAGGTATATATCTACATATAAAATAATAATTACCCTCTAGTCAGAAATGGCCAGAATTAGTCAGATTTAAGTGGAAATCGATACCCTACTCGGTTCTCTGACAATTGAGAGAACAAAACAGAGAGCAGATGTAGTATGTTTGACAACCAAATTGTAAACAAGAGAAAGGTGCACTTGCAGATGTGTGACCTGAATGTGCATACAAAATAAGCAACAATTTACAATAAAAATTTGGAGGTTATGTAGCAGTTGTGAGAAGTTATCATCCCGTACTGTTACTCTCTCGCTCTGAGCGAATTTTTATTTTTTGACAGTTTTACTAGTTTTAGTTTGAGGAATACGGTATTGGACCTATAAGTAGAAGTATCACGTTAAAGTATACGGGCACACTCATCAAACAGATTTCACCTTATTCTTTGAACATAAGAAAATGTTGGATCCAACATTTTGAATTTTGAAAATCTCATAAAAATTCCTAAATAAATTAAATCCATCAATATTTGAAAAATTTTGTCTGCCAAATAAAGTTTGTCATGTTGTTTGAGGTTAGAAAAAAAATGCTAAAGTGATCATATCAAACACCTGGTCTTGTCAAAATAACTTTTCATCGATTTTTTTTTGTGATCCTGTGTGTGTTCTTAAAATTATGACCTTTGAAAACTTTCGGCTTAACAACTAGTTTAAACTTCATTTGCACACTTACCAAATTTATGAACACATTTAAAAGTGTGGAATAATATAATTTTGTAGTATAAAACACCATCCACCTATCGATAAATAAGTGTGCCAGCGGAATTTTTTTTTCTTAACCCTTTCAGTACAAAAAATCAACCGTTGAAGCTAAATAACTGAGAATTTCTACACCGGCGAATTTGGGTCGTCGATTTCGAAAATACAATCAAAGCTTTAAAAAGCTTTATTATTTTATTCTATTGTGTTTGTCCGAAGAAATCTTAGAAGCCTGTCATAAAAATATAAGGAATGTGCGATTTTTCCATAAAAGAAACACGACGAGAGATTCAATGGCTCATTTGTTCTTATTGTCGGATCCGTAACTATCATCGCTTAGGTCTACAAAAAAAAACCCAATTTTGGATTTGTAGAAATTGAGATATACATTTTAAAAGCCAACATTTGTAAATTGATTGAGCAAATTTACAAAAGTTTTATATTTTTGACCCTTTTTGAAGAAAATATTAAATTATAAATTTTTTCAATAACTAAAATCGTAAGGGAGGTATCTAGTCATTACCTGATACCAAATGAAACAAAATTTGCCAAAGAGTTGAAAAGTT